TCATACAGTACTAAGCAATAGACATCATCGCTTACCACTTTTATCAACTATGTAAGCGGTTAATTACCTGATCTCCTCAACAGCATGGATACACACCAGTGACTTCCAGTCTGCTCCACCTGATTTGATTGCGGCGGCGTGTTCGTTTAGCTTTCCTCAGGGGAAGTCGTGCCCGTGTTATAGCTAGCATTCTAGTAAACAGTTTGTGCTCCATTCTGATGCCATGGGAAAGCCACTAAGACATCATTCACGAAATGTCCTCATTCGTCAATTCTTTACACCGTGAATCCGTTCCGTAGGTCCTTATTGGATGGCTCTAAAATTCTGTTGTATTGTGGTTTGATTTCTATTTAGCTGCATCGTTGTTGAGTTTAGATCGTTTTGATTGTCCTCTCTAATATGTGTGGTGCGTTGTGACTTGGATACACGCTGATTTGATTGGCTGTCCCACTCAGCATAATCCACACTCTCATTGGTCCATTCGATGTTCACTTTCACAAGGCCTCTAGGAGGAATGATTAGCCGAGGCATTGTATCTAAGCTGCCACCCTGATCCGTATGTCGAAAATACTTATAAAATAATTGTAAGACTATCCAGACCTTTCGGAATTAGGGTTAGTACACAAACCTACCAGCGCAGTGTGGAAAACATGCTCAAACTCAAAGGGAGAACATGTAGATCAGTACAACACATAAAATCTAATGGAACGGCTTCGAGAGGCACTTCGTGGGATGAACAGAAAGAATAAAAGAAGATTATCTACAACAGAAGTCCTCAACGACCGGTTAATGCTGGTCTCCGCGGAAGAGGCCCTAGTTCATGTGAAATAACGTGCACATATCTTAAACAAGGAGAGAACCCGAGTTCATGGAGACTCGAAAGTCTGACAGAAAAGAGATCAAAGGACATTTTGGTCCGAGCCGTCAGCCTGTGCGATCTAAATTCACATGAAACTGTACCACACCTCAGAAAAACAGAAAGGATAGAAGAACAAATGTGACCCAAACTAGTGGAGAAACCAAAAGATCAGAGTCTCGGCTGAATTAGCTGAACAAGTCAGACAGACCAATAAGAATCCATTCTATCTGGATTAGCCAATTGGAATGAACGATTTTCCTACTAAATTGAATGGGCCAATAGAAATGCGGGCTATTCTCCAAGAAGAACAACAAAGCAGGTCACAGAATTCCCTAATCACGACATGCCACGCATGTTGGATAGGTGAGTCAAACTAATGAATAGTAATACTGGATATGGTGTCCGACGGACCAATCAGTAAAGCAGAAAACAGACCACAATGCAACATAGAAGTAGAATAGGTCAACCAAATTAGGCAGTAACAATCGCCCAGCTGTAAAGGCTTTTGGACACCCAGCCGCCATGCCACCCAAAGGAAGCACGAGGGATGAGGTACTGCCAAGTCGCTCAAGCCTAGACAGGAACAGTCAAGATGCATAGGTGGGTTCAAACCACGGACCTTCTGGCCCATAAGGCGGTGTTTTTCAACACTATGCTTTCTAGATTGATAAGGTGGAGTCACTCCCTTAAGAACCATTTGCGCGCCGTAAAATTTTGGTAGCCAGGAAAACCCAGAGGACTTATCTGCCCCTTTAGTGTTTGTACCAATGTCCTGGCATGTCCTGGGTTTTCGAAAGGTAGATCATGTGGCCAATTTTCAAGCGGTTCCAGAGCCATCTTTGCATAATGCGCTTAACTCAGAACGACTTCATCTGCCTTCGGGCAGTGAAAAAATGTTCCCATTCAAGGATTTTAAAGGCAGAATATTCCAAAGTTAACTGTCGTCGTTCTACATTGTTGATGACCTTGAACCTTGAGCAACCACTAACCCACCGCTACGCACAACTACGCACTGATGATGTCACCTCGACTGGTAATGAAACGTTTGCCACCAAATTGTCCAGCTAAGCGAACAAGCCAACGACCATCTACGCTACCTGAGCAACCGACATTCTCCTCTATAGAGAACCTAGTTTTATTTTCGGCATCAAGAATTGGGTCTTCGAGATTTGGCTGGCGGCCCGAGGGTGGAGCGGTTTGCGCTTGGTACTGAAGTTCAGTCCGTTCTGAATTAGTTGAACTTCATGTCCACTCAAGTTAACCGATGTCAAACATTTTCCGGTACAACTGGAGCTGGTAAGATGGTGCTTTGAATGGTACTTCGAGTAATCGTTCAAACGTTATTCTAACGTTCGCACGAGTCCACATTCATCTTTTCTTGATCGACAATGTCCGATAAGATGATCCTCGTATCGCAACTTGGAATAAAGATACTCCACTACCTGTTTCCTCTCTATCACGTTCTTTTTCATACTCATTCTTTTGTACGCACGCGGCAGCTACTTCCTCCATAAATATTCCCTTTTGTCGCCCAAGGCGAACAAAATTAGTCTCTTGTATAAATGCGGTCAAAGGGTGCGCCCTTTCTAAGTGTCTACCGCCTGTTGCCGGTGTCTTTTCTCGTACACGGCAGCCATTTCAAGAAGTCTCACTGAAACAAAAGTTTTTCGTGGGTGAAGTTTTCGATTAGGACAGGTGAGTGTCGGACAAGGGGAGAGTGTGATGAGAGTGAACACACCTGCATCATCATCATCATCATCATCGTCATCATCTTCATCATCATCATCGACAGCATGACATCAGTGTTCAACACCGATGCTTCACTGCCGTACAACCATGACTTATTTGAAAGGCTTATTGTAAAGAAAAGAATAAAGGTGGATGGGGGAGGGACTTAGTGTTAGCTTAACACAATCATTCCGAGGTGCCTACACCTCCAGATATTCACTCAGGCAATCTGGATAGAAACTGAAAACAAGATCGCCACTTACATCTGTTGGCAGCCATATCTTGTATTGTCTCCAAACAGGCACAGTCAGGATCACGCGGTCCCTATCCTGGAAGGCGTGTAGCAAACACAGCACCCAAGCGTCTCGCGATCTTCTTCATACTCCTTTGCCAAGTCAAGGGTTGACCACCTCTCTGTTTACGCCACTCTGAATTGGGCATGGAAAACAGCACTCTCTTCGGCAAACGATGGTTCGGCATGCGTAAAACATGTCCCAACCAACGCAGCTTCTGGTGCTGGACACATTTTTCAATGGAAGTACTCGTTGCACAACCGAAAATGCACTTTCTAACTGCCTCGTTACGGATTCGCCGAGACCAACCCACACGAGCTAGGGTTCTGAGCCAAAGAACCCCGAACA